CGCATCCTCCCCGCAGGGCGGTGCTTGCCCGCCGCCGGGCTGCGCGGTTTCCCCTCTCGCGGGGCGAGGTGTTACGGGGCCAGGCCTCAGCCAGGGAAGGGGTCTCCCCTCCTGTGGCTGCTCTGATTGCAGGCTGGGCTTCCGTGGTGCGAGGAGTGAATGCTAAGCGTGCTTCCAGGGAAGCTAATCCTGCTGGAAGTATACCTTAGTGAAAGGCTAACGGATTTATTTGGGAGTTCCCTGTATTCTACACATTGAGATGATTTTCTTCTGGTTTCTCATGGCCATCTCTCTTATATTGCCTTTGTTTCTATTTATATGGCAAGGTTGTCTCACAAATTAACATATGTTTCTTGGGACATTCCCTAGGTATTTTCATCTGGCAAAAATGGGTGAACCTCAACAAGTGAGTGCCCTTCCTCCGCCTCCAATGCAATATATAAAAGAATATACTGATGAAAATATCCGTAAAGGCCTGGCTCCAAAGCCACCTCCCCCTGTGAAGGACAGTTACATGATGTTTGGTAATCAGTTTCAATGTGATGATCTGATCATTCGACCCTTGGAGAGCCAGGGTATTGAACGGTTACATCCCATGCAGTTTGATCACAAGAAGGAATTAAGAAAACTTAATATGTCTATCCTGGTCAACTTTTTGGACCTCTTGGATATCTTGATAAGGAGTCCAGGGAGTATAAAGCGAGAGGAGAAACTGGAAGACTTGAAACTGCTTTTTGTTCATGTCCATCATCTTATAAATGAGTATCGCCCTCACCAAGCTAGGGAGACACTGAGAGTCATGATGGAGGTGCAGAAACGACAGCGTTTGGAAACAGCGGAGCGATTTCAGAAGCACTTAGAGCGAGTTGTAGAGATGATTCAGAATTGCCTGGCTTCCTTGCCTGATGATCTGCCCCATTCAGAGGGAGGACTGGGAGTGAAAGCAGAAACAATGGATACTGATGGTGGCAGCAACTGCATTGGACAGAGCGAAAAACAGAGAGAGCGTTCCGGTGGCAAGAGAGATCAGGTTTTGGACAAAGATGCAGCTATGTGTAGCATTATTGATGAAATGACATGAAGAAAACACTTTGTTATTTTGTTAGCTTGCCGTTGTGAGAGGTGGAATGCATTCTGAGGGTATATGTTATATTTTGTACGTGCAGACAAAGCATTTATTGTACACCTCTTGGAGGTTGTGAGTGACTGATGAAGATGTTTAATATTTTGCAAGCTGTGTGTTTTATCAGTAGAAACAAAAAAAACTTTTGTTAAATATATCATGTGAGGTGGAAGCCACACATTAAAGTTAACTTTTTCTGTTGTACTTTCATTTGTCTCTTTCTGTTCTTTTTGGAATGCTGCTTTTTTTTCTTTTTTTAAATTGCTTTGTAGTGTGGAAGCAAGTAGGGGGCCGAGAGGAATTGCAGTTGACAGTTCCTCCATTTCAGGTAAGTGCTAGTTGTTTACAATTTCAGTGGGTCCTTTCAGGTGTGAGTAATTCAGTATTAAAAATAAAATCAGTGTCAAGTCTTCAAAATCCATTCTTTTCTAGCTTTGTAGTAATGTACCTGTACTGAAGACAACTAAGCATTCTTTTACTACAGATGTAATGTGTAATTTGTTTTATAGAGACACTCAGGAATCTCAACAATTAAATTAATTTAAAATTAATTGGATTTAAATTTTCTTAAATGTACATCATAACTAGTCTTGAGCTTACAAAAGTGCCTACTTTTTTTTTTTTTTAACACATACATTTTTAGACTAACTTCTATTTCCTGCCTGGTTAATGCACATACATGAAGTGAATCATTTTGCGGTGCAGATGCTTTGTATTTGCCTTTTAGGTGGGCTCTGGGCCCAGCTGAGTGGGTTTTTTTTTCCTCAGGAAGGGGAATCTGGTTAATTAGCCTTTATACTAACTGAGAACAACTAAGTTTGAAAGAACCTTCGTGTATGCCATCAAATGGAAGCCATATCAACCAGGCTTAAAGAACATTGGAGATGGATCAGCCTCCTGTTGCAAGAGGAGAAGAGTGATTTGATAGCGAAGAAGCGGCTTCCGTACCCTGTCCCTCCTGTCAGGGGAATCCTACTTCATCTTTTTGCCATGTAGCACCGTAGTATGTATGTTTTCCAAAGTATGTACAGCAGCTAAAAATCATGTGAACTTTATGGGAGGGGGAACTTGCACAAACTTCGTCTTTAATTGTGGTTTAACAAGCTATGTCTCTGTTTCACTTGATAATTCTGTTGTTTTCAGAAACGTTACTTAAATGGGCAGGCAGAAGTACTTAGCTGCTGGGTAGTGGGGGTTGAGCTTGGTGCAGATAAAGATGAAATGACCCGAAGCGAGTGTATGACTCATTGGAGGACATCATCTGCTATTTTAAGTGCACGTAGCATCATAGGTAACAACAAAGTAGAAACATGGTTTGAGTTTGTTTGTTTGTTTTTTTTTTTTTTAGAAATGTATAAATAATTTCACCAAGTTAACACTTTCGGCCTTTATTTGGCCACCGCTGTTTCTTTCCTTCTCTCTGGATTAGATCTAAATTACATTGCTCATAGGTAACTAAAGCAGTTGCGTGTGAGCAGAATTAATTTGGTATCTATTTTGCAAGTAGAAGATACGAAGAAACATTTAGTGCCTCTGGGTTAAGAGGTCGCACACTGTGGAACCACAGTTTGCCACAGATGTTTTAACTTCGCCATTCAAAAAGAACTGTCACGGGTACTCGATGGTTTTCTGTTGATTTTTGTCTAATTCTTACGCTTTTAATGAGGCCATAGGCCTGGGTACCATAGTTTCAAAATACTGCACAAGCTGGGTCCTAGCAACAACTAACAATTGCAATGTTTTTTGTGAAACCCTCGAGGTAAAAGGGGATCATGTCACTTAAAAAATATATAAGACTGCTTTCACTTTCTAAAAAGTTTCATGAATAATTTGTTTGTTCTAGATTTATTTTTTTTTCTATGTTTAAGGCAAACCCTTAGAAAGCTGTGGGAGGCTTCCTTGGGTTTTTTTGGCCAAAACATTGACTTCTTCCTCCATTGTCAGGTCAAAGCAATGATAGTTTTCCCTTTTCCTGTTACACCTTTGCTTTTGGAGAACAACGGACTGCAGCTGTGGTGAAAGCAGTGGGTGGCGCCTGCCTGTTACTCCAGGGAAAGGGGCATTTTGCATTTGCATGGTGTGACTCACTGGCTAGCAAATTCGATTATAAATGTTGTCTTCTCTAGCGTGTTAATTAACATGCTCCTGATGATGAGATCTCTCCTTACCTCAGCAAATCCTGATTTTATTTTTGGATGTGATAACATTTGAAGTATTCTACCCCTGAAATGTTAATGCATACAATATGTGTTGGATTATTTATACCTTATCAAACTTGATCAGACAAAATTAACATCAAGTGTTAAGCAGCATTTTGTTGGGTGTTTCTTAATTAAAAAAAAAAAAAAAAAAAAAAGGAAGGAAAAAAGCCCAGCCCTTCTATTACACTGTCTGAACAAGCACAAGGATAACAGAAGTACAGTTACTTGAAAAATTCCGGAAGCTCTTGGTACAGAGAAACCAAGTGTGTCACCAGTGAACAAAAGGGGAAAGTTTGTAGCTCTGATCATCTAGGTGGAAAAGAAGAAAAGCTTTTTAGTGATACAGCTTTAAAATAGTGCAATGAATATGTGTTTCCAACAAGGCTTTAAACTTAATTTGGTATTTTATGTTTTGGATTGGTTTTATTTTCACAAATTATGATCTGACTGTGTGCTCTGCATCAAGAAAAAATGTGCAGCTACTTTACGGGCTGCATGAAAAAGATGATGAGCGCCATTTCCGTAAAAAAGGTGCCAACATTTCTTGCACAAACAAAAAGCAGGAACTTGGAAAACAGGCATGTAGAAACCCAGAAACTTTATCAAAGCATTCCATATGGTCTGTGTTTGAGATGGAATCCAAAGCAAGCGGGTTAACTGTTGCCCTGTTCTCTTACTGCGTGACCAGAATGGCTTTCCTGGGGATGCAGCCAGCAGACAGCACCCGAACTACTATAAACTATCGTATGAATGGAACAACCTGGGTGAAGTGAGTAGAATGGGCTCAGGCAGAGCTCTGGGGGATAACAGTTTCCTTATTTTCTTGTCCTATTTATTTATTTTGGAGCTCAGGTGTGGCCCCTGCAGAGGAGGAATCCACGTGGACCCATCCACACTGCACATTATTGCAGTAACTGGCAGAAGGGCCGTGTCCTGGTCTGCAGGTTGGATGTCTGTCACATGCTGAACCACCAAGAGATGTTTGTTAGCTGGTTCCAGGCACTGTTGTGATGCAGCTGTGGTAAATGCTGTCACCTGCCTTCTGCCAGAGCCAAGGTTGCCCTGCCTTTTCTATTTGTGCAGAGCAGTTTCAGGATCCTGCCCTTAATGATCAGAATTGGTCCTGTAGCTGCTATCTGCAGGTTCCCGTTTCCCCAGAAAAGAGGGGAGCGAAGAGGAAGCGCTTTTGAGTCCTGCTTCCAGCCACTGCGTACAAAAATCCCCTTCTCCCTCCTCCTCTCAGCTCTTTCCTACAGGTGTGTTGCTAGTGTTTGTCTCTTAGCTACTTTAATGTCTTGGTTTTCCCCTTTTTCACTTAAAGAAACCGTCACTTTGGTGACTTCGCTGTCATGTCAGTGCCAGGCAGCTCTGTTGGTTCTGATTCTAGCCTAGTGTATGGGTTTGGGTGTGGTTTTGGAAGCGTTTCTGCTGTTTCAGTTATTGATAAAAAGTAACACCTTACAACTTAATTTTGTCTGTATAAAACAGTGTAAAGCAGATTAGTTACTTCAGCAAAGAACATTTGTTTGCCCTAGATCAAATACACTTGATCACAACTGCAGTTCTAGTCCAAACAATAGAAAAAGACAAGATGTCCTCAAAAAGAGTTCAGTAATTTGGGGATAGGGAGAGTGGCCAGGGAACACTGCTTCTCAAAAGCTGTGTTTCAGCAATATTTTGTCGAAGTGAGCCTTGAGCATGGAATGACATGGTTTGTGCGCTACTTTTAAAGTGACCTCTAGATCCTGTGTGTGTTACTTTATATTGCAAAAGCCCAGATGCATACAGGATAAGAGTCAGATGATGAAAGACTGCAACTCTATTAGGTTACAGCTGTGTAACAGTAGGGCAGCTTTCCAATACTACCAAATTATAGCCTATAAAGAAAATTGCATTTGCCTAAAGATGCTCTGGGCTGCTTCTAAGTATTAGAACCAGAAACTTATGATTAAATGCTCTAGTAATTCTTCCTAGGTTATTTTGCCAAGTCCTTTCTGTTTGCCACAGTCTGTTATGTATCCTGTGTAATCTCTTATCCAAATTCTATTTACCATGGCAAAAAAATGTGTGGGAAGCAGCACGGCGCAATGGATTACTGATACACAAGTGCTCAGTGGTGCTGACAACAGTTTAATCTACTGTAGTCAAGCAGGTCTGGAAAAAACAAGAAGTAGATTTCTGAAGTGCTGCGAAGTATTTCAGACTTTCAGTCAAACCACAGTCGGCGAGGGTTCAGCTGCGCACACTCTTGGCAGCAGCGCTGGGCTGGGCTGTGCTGCTGCAGCCTGACGGGCTAACTGCAGGAAAGGTGCTCTGGGTTGGACTAACAGGCGTTCTCAGCTCTGCCTGAAGATGACGTGCTAAGAAGTAAAACCAGAAGATTACGAAGAAGATAAGTTTTCTTGAGCGTAGGTGCCCGAAGGGTGAACACGAGTGTTGTTCCTCATCTTCGGCCACAATGTCATCTTATTTCTGCATGAACTGGATTCTTCTGATCCTGTTTACAGGTAACTAAGTGGGTCTGAACAAATAGGTGGAGGTGGATGGAGGTAACGTGCATGAGTGTTTCTGATGGTTGCAAAGAGAGCGATTTTATGTTACAATAGGAAGAGTGGCCACATGGCACAGAAACTGCAGTTTTGTTATGAGCAGAACTTCATCACAGTGGCTCAATCGTCTTCTGATGGCCTTATCTCCTTTTTAGAACACAATCGTGTTGAGGGTATGATGGTTTTAAAGATGCTGCTTCTTGTGCTGTCTGCTAGTCTTATTTATGAATGATCTTTTGGGTTTCTTAGATAACGATCTGAGATTAGCAGAGAACTTCACATTGTTTTAGAAAAGATGTAAAGCAAGGCTACTTCACTTCAGCAGGCTTTGTGAAGGTGAACGCTTAGGAAGCCAGCGAAAAGGTCAGCTGTGGCTTCTGGAGGTTTTTAGCCAATGTGAAATTTTATTGGGACAAATTGATAATTTATTTTTTAAAATTATTATTATTATTATTATTATTATTATAAGGAGAAAACAATCCTCCTACGAAAATACTGTGAAAGGCAATAGTGCTGAAAACAACAGGTTGTAGAGTGGTACTAGTATAGGCAGATAGACATTCAAGATTTGGTGGTAGAATACCTTCAGTAGAAAGGATAGGGATATTGCAGATACTATTTCCTCTAGTTCTTTATAAAGCCTTTCATCATGAGATTCATTTAGAGCTTTCTTTTTTTTAATATTAAATAAAACACATTCTTTCAGAGGTTAGTTTCTAATATGCCACTGTGGCAAAGTCTCTGAATGCAGACTTATTTTTGACCATAATAGCTTAGCTTAGGAAAATGACTGAACTGAGCTGGGGAAAACAGGTTTTTCACAAGGGACAACTGCAATCAAGCCATAGAGTGCTTGGGATCCACCGGCGCGTGTTGGCATACCTGCCTTGGGGAGCTCCCTTCCTAACTATAGACTGGGCTAGGCTTTTTTGATTGAGATAATTTGATGCCTGTACTTGCTGCAGAGAGTTCTATTCCTGAAACGTTAATATGGAGAAATCAAAACATTTACAGATGTGATCCCATGTTACTGAATTTGATAAGAAATGTGTAGTGGTAAGTGTATGGCAAAGTTTTCTCTGCAGAACCAGCAGACAGAGCGCGCAGCTCAGGAGCCCCACGGCGTAACCTGTTAGAAGGCGGTGGTTATGGGATGGCTGTGACTGGATCGCCAGAGCACAAATGATTTTGGCTGGTGCTTAATACAGCTTTTATTAAAACCCTCCTAAAGGAAATATTGACTGGAGTGGTCTAAATACAGGAAAGAAAACTGTCTTGCTGTGGCTGCTGGGTCTCAGTGTTTTGACTTGAATAGTGTGACACAGCCTTCTGGAAGTGTGAAAAATGACTGTTAGTGGGAACTAAACAAATTAGAAACTGCGTAAGAATGAGGGAAAAAAAATAAGGTAGTGAAAAGAGAGGGTATAAAATGTCTCAGAAAAGCTCTGAAAAATCTGATAGGAATAGGCAAAATCTGTCATGAGGCAGGAAAAAAGGAACAGTGTTCAGCAGTGATTGTTCCAATGAAACCTGATGTTCAGTGGCCCTTCATTGAAAGGGAGGCAGAGTTCCCCCACAATGATTTTAATGAAAGCCAACGTCTTGTGGTTCCCCCATGTGTGGCTTGGATTAAATCTGAACTAAGGAAAAAAAAAATAAAGAGGTAACAGACCAGGCATGGCTAAAGAAAAGCCACCAAGTTGTGCAGATCCAAACTGTTCTCTCTTCACCTCTCAGGCTGCAGAAAGTCTGTTTCTTCTTTCTCTGCCTAGAGACACATTCTGAACAAATCACTGTCCTGGTCATTATCCCTCACCACGTCAGCCCTGTGGGGATTCACTCGGTTCATGAAAAACCTGATCCAGCAATGCCTGGTGGTGTTGGTGAGATGGGAGGTATTGGGTCACGCAGGATGCGTGAGGAGCTTCCACTTGTGTGCCTAGTGCTCAACAACTCCACTTGTCTTCTTGTCCACAGGCCCCACAGTGTCGGAATCACTTGTGAGAGGAAGGGCTGGTCAGAATATCACTGTGCCCTGCTTTTACAGTGTTAAGAGCAGACAAGACATCACATCAATGTGCTGGGGTCGTGACAGCTGCCCCAGTTCAAAATGTTATCGGCCCATTATCTGGACAGATGGATGGAAGGTGACAGAGCAGTACAACAGCAGGTATACGTTGAAAGGGAACCTGTTGATTGGCGACGTGTCCCTCACGATTGTGAACGCCGAGGTAGCAGACAGTGGGATATACTGCTGCCGCGTGGAGATCGCAGGGTGGTTCAATGATCAGATGACTAATCACAAGGTTGTGATAGAGAAAGGTGAGTGCAGAAGTGCTCTCTTGTGTCAGGACTATTGCGGTAAATCTGCTATTGAGTCTGGATTTCAAAGCTTGTGGTGGAAATGATTTCTATAATCATCCATAGGACTGATCTTTAGGACTTTGCAGATCTGCTGTTAGTGCTGTTTAAATTAAGCTGTCTTTGGCATTACTGTAATCCCAGCACAGTCACTGCAATTAAAAAAAGGACATGGTGCTTTGTTCCATGGTGTGTGCACAGCACTACTGAGCTGTCTTAGAAGCACTATTTGAAGAATTTAAGAGAAAGGGCAGCATAGGGTACTTAATTCATAGAATTATAGAATCATTTGGTTGGAAAAGACCTGTAAGATTGAGTCCAACCGCACCTGTCCACTACTAAACCAGGTCACTAAGCACCTCGTCCACCCATCTTTTAAACACCTCCAGGGATAGGGGCTCGACCACATCCCTGGGCAGCCTGTTCCTGTGCCTGAAAATTCAGGAAAAATTAATCTGAAGCATTACACTGGCACCCTTTTCATGGAAAATGGTGCTTCATTTTTCCCTGCTTGATTCCAGAGTAAAGCCCAGGGACACAAAATAAATGTAGACTTTTTTTTTTTTATCAGCTCTTCCTTTGAATTTTAGTTTATCTCTTGTTTGTAAAAAGCGCAATAGTATATGGAACAAGTGGCTGACAAATGTGCTTGTGTAATTTTTATTATAGAAACGCTTTCTCTTTTTCACTACATAAATGCACACTAAGGTTAATTATAATGTATGTTGGTTTTGTTTTATTTTTTAACATCAGCTAGGATCTCTACTGCAAGTCCTCACACTTACACCTCTGAACAGACCTCAGGTAACTTTTATCCAAGCATTAATCTCAATAGCATATATAAGCTGTATTGCAAATGGGGATCTTAGGAAGGAAACAAAATGATAGATGATAGGAATGTCTTGGCTGACATTTACTAAACATTGCCATAGAACCAGAGATCAGAACTTGGGTTTAAATTCTGCCTGACATGATACAGAGTCTCCAACAGAAGGAACAGATATACGTGGGAGGAAGTTTGCTTCCAGGTGTTATGCTTAAGGAGATGTTTTATTGGTGCTGCAAGCATTGTTTTTCTTGTAGCTGCTGTTTTGGTATGTTTTCTTTGTGGTATAAAATCTCACCTCATCTTCTGGAAGCGAACAGTAAACCACAAATTTTTAGGAGTTGGGTGTGCCCACTATTTAATCAATTTATTTGTTGCTTTAGATCATAGAACTGTTCTATTGGGCTAGCTCAAAACCACGTCTAATTCAGGATCCTATCTCGGTAGCAGTCAACAGCAGATGATTAAGGAGGATTGTAGAAACAGGGCAGTAATTTTGTGATGCAGTACCAAAGTATTCTACCCTGGTATAACGTGTATCTCGGAGGTTGCCCGTGTCCCCTGTAGCCTATGCATATTTAATAACGTGAGGCTCCTCATTGCAGTGGATGAGACAGTGAACAACTAGTCCTCACTTGGTTTCTCCATTCCACTCACAAGTTTATAGACTTCTATCGTATACCCACTTAGCTGCATCTTTTTCAGTCTGAAAAAGACCCCTTTAATTTCCTGTACACAAAAGAGAGTTCATAGTGTAATGATAGCTTATTCCATGGATTTTGAAAGAAAAATCAAGGATGCCGTTTGTATTTCTCCCTCCATCTCAGGTGTTTCCAGCTGAGCAGCTGTAAAATGTTACAACAGTTGCATTTCCTTTTTGGAAGAAGAGAAAACTTTCTCAGACTGTTTCTGTTCTGGTTGCAAATACCACAGTTTCCAGTCTTACAACTCATGGGTTTTCTTAACCCTGTGATGTCTTCCCTAACTGCTGGTGGAACAATTCTTTATGTTTTCAGAAATGAATTAATGTGTGCATGTTCACACTGACGGAGACTGGAAAGGGCGGGGGGCCATGTGCCTCTAATCTAGGAGTACCCCAGCATCTCCAGTGGAAGAGAACAGAGAGGCAGATGATCCTGTCCTCTTCAAAATAAAGCTTCTGGGAGAAGGGTAAAAATTTAAAACATCAAAGGAACCAGCTAGGCTTGTCATGATGTGAACAGGAGATCTTGTTTTCAGGAGGATTGTAGATCATCTGACAACACAGGGAGAAACTGAGACCAATATGGAAGACATAAGTTCATAGCTCTGAATCTTTAATTTTGCAAACAACTTTGCTCTGGGAAATTACTTCCAAATACGCAAGCATATCACACTTTGGTCAGTCTGCTTACTGTATCGCTGTCTGGGACTTTAAAAGTATCACTTGCTTTCTCTAACTTTGCACGATTTGCTCTTTCAAGGCCCTGAGCTAACCTTAATCAGTCTTTATCAGATAACCTAAGTTTCCTTCTTGGTTCCAAAACCAGATGCCTACCTCAGTAACTCCTGCCTTCTAGGCCCTGTGTTGAGATAATAGCAAGAGCTAAGTGTTTCCTGGAAGGAATTCAAAGCTCTGAAATGGACAGCAGCGGCTCCAGTATTCAGAGTTTTGTGCTGCCCTCTGAAGGCACCAACCTCTTTACATTATGCAGAGCTGAGACTCCTGACAGAGAGATACTTGGGTTTGGTGGTCCCAAGTCAGCAGTACGTATTCTTCTCTGTCAAGGCAGAATGGTTCTCTGTGCAAGTGATGTGTTTGTCTTGCCTTTGTTCAGCTCACGGGAGCACCAGTGAATCATCCTTTACCGTCACAAGACTGTGGCCAGAGGTTTCTGCTTCGGAAGCTCCTCGGACTGTAAGCGTCTCTATAGCATGCTATAGCATACCCAGACAAAGTGGATAGACACGAGAGGTTATTGGGTCACCCCTACAGTTCACTTGTACTGCTTTAGATCGGTTGCAAAAGAATATTTTTTTTTGTAGCCTGCATGTTTAGGGCTTATGAAAGAATGCTTATGTGTTCATTATTAAAGAGGAACACCCCCACCCCCCACACCCTGCTGCTTTGCATGCATAAAGTACTTCCTACTAATGCAGAGAGAGCTTTGGCAGCATCTGTATTGTCTTTCAGGCCTCTGGTCCCTGCTCGAGCACCTCAGACTGCTTGGATGTAACCTCCAACCTGCAGGTATGGCAGGATATGGGGAAAACTTGAAATTGGACCACCTGGCAGCACTGGGATGCCCGTACTCCTGGTGCAATGGAGTTCAAACAGGCAGCTCTGTGTCTGTCCTGCTGAGTCCTCCAGCATATGTTGTAGTGTGTCAGGCAATAACATCGCCCAAATTTTATCAGGAAGACAAGAGAGCCAAGCTAGCCTTTGGGAAGGCCTGCTGTGATGAACTACAAGGCAGTACATGCTCTGGGCGTTTGTACTGCTGTGGGTGCAGAATGTAAGTCAGGGACCATGCTGCGCTTCAGCATCCTTCCAGGCCTGAGTTCCTAATGAGAGGTTATGTACCTAACGACTGGCTTCAGAAAGAAGTTTTGCCTAAATAAAGACTGATGCAAGGAGAAGGCATATTTACTTATCGATATAAACCCTTGAACGACTAATAATAATAAGCTGACAAAGAGGTGGGAGGGTGTGACACCAGGACTTCATTTTAATCACAAAATAAAATATTCACCAAGCAGTAGTAAACCTGAACAAATGGGGGTTTTGTCATAACTTAGGTCCTTTGATGATCAGCATAGTTCACACAACTCTTGCAGTGATTCTGTTTGAAACTAGTCCTGTATCTCAAATTAGGCTCTTGCTCTCAAGCGTACATTTACTGCAGGGTTGCAAAGCACACAAATGGCCTTTGGATACTGCATGGGCTTCTTGCTCTCAGTGCCACTAATGCTCATCTCTTTTGTGTTGACAGAACATGTCTGTGTCACTTCCCAGCGAGCAGTATCCAGAAAATGGGCTATACATTGGGATTGGCTTATGTGCGGTACTTCTAACCATCCTCATTTTGGCTCTGTTCCTCACTAGACGTAAGTACTTTTCACAGGTGACTATTCAAGGGTTGGTCAGGTATGTCTAATCACAGCTGTAGCAGATGCCACATGTCTTCTGTGTCGGGGAAGTGAGCCAAGGTCTCTGGATGGCCTCACTCTGTACCCTGCACTGTGGTTGCTTGCTCAGCTCTCCACATAGCCTCCAGGGCACGGAACAGCAAGGTGCCGGTGTGGTCTTGTCATTTTATGTCTCAGACTCCTTAGTAACCAGCCAACCCATGGTGTGGTGAGGAGATGCATGGTACGAGTCCACCTCCCCTGCCCCACTCATTTCTTCTGACCCATTCCTCAGTTGCCATCTCGTCTTTCCCAATGGGAGGGGTACTGGTTTCATAGAACTACATCCAATATTTTTTGTGTGCCAGACTTTCTCCATAGAGGCTCTTAATCAGACTAAGCCAAGATCTCATGGAAATAATAGGGATTTCCTATACTGAAAAATTCTGCTTAAAGTTCTCTTATTTAGTTTCTTACACATCTTTTTTTTTTTTTTTTTTTTTTTTTTAACCTGCTACCTTACTTGCTTCTGATGGTTTAAAGAAAATGACTTGTCTTCTTTCTTTTTTCTTTATTTTCACTCTGGATGGTCCTTAGAATACTTATACAATACAAAGAAGACAGGTAACCTTGCAAAGTAAGTATTCTGTTTCTACTTTAGCTAATAGGACAAACTAGGTTGCAGAAAGAAAATGCTTTCAGTATGTGGTGGAGTGGTCAGTGTACTTTGACTTTTAATCTCAAGTTAATAGGAAACACTGCAAAACCAAATTAATGTGCTATTTATCATTAGTTAGTAAGCAAAGATGAGTATAACTGTTGGTTCATTGCATTAGGGAGCATGCAAACTGCAAGTGTGGGTTGTCTCATAAGTGGAAAAATGATTCATTATCAGTCGTTTTAAATTAGTGGTTTTGCATATTTTGCATTTTTTCCAGTGAGATGGTTGGTTTAGCTATCTGCTCTTCTGTGTTTCTGTTGTCTGTTTTTTGTTTAACAGTATGGTTTTTACTCTTTTTGTGCAGCTTCATTGCATACTGGAGACCAGGCCGTGCAGAGAACCATAGTGCCCTGGAAGAGGAGACCCATGCAGAGGAAAACATTTATATAATACACTAAGGACTGTATGCATGCTTGCCTCTGTCATCGCTGGGACATTAAACAGTTTCCAAAATGTTAGCTGCTCCCTCTGCTCAGCAGCTAAACGTGACTGGACTACTGAATGCATTATTCACACCATTCTAATAAAACAAGTAAAAGCTACACTTCTAATTAAAAGCTTTATCAGCCTGTTCCAGGAACAGAAACCCTACTGGCTTGAATGGAAATTTCCAGAATCCACTTATCAAACCCTAAAGGAAGTTACCATTATATTTATTATCTGCTTCAATTTTCTCCTTCCTTTTTGTAAAAAAGAGGAAGTGCCAGAATAGCTTCTCCATCACAAAAGGAAAACCACATCTTTTAAAAAAGTTTGTCTTCACTCTACAAAAGTGTCCATGCCATTAGAGGCCAGAAGCAACCTCATAGCTGCCATGACAAAGATGTCACATGGAAAAACTTGGTAGTATTAGTATTCTAGTGTATATTTAGTTGAATTTTCTTTGAAGTCAGGCCAGTCCTGGCAACAGCTCAGTAATGCAATGTACTAATTCCTGTCCACCCACAGTTAAATCTGGAGGAGGGATGCCCTTGAAGCCTACAGGATCAGTGCTTCAATGTGCAGAATATTCACAGCTTGGTTTGAGAGAACTATGACCGGGTGTCGTTTTGTCTGCAAAATACATCACTTTTCCTGTGGCTTTCTCCTTGGGCCAGCCTATGCCCTGAGAAGTCCTCACATGGATAGTCTCACTTCTAGGCCTCTAAAAAACCGAACAAGCCCCAACTACTTTGTAAAGTTAATTAAATTCTTACTTAGCTTGTGGAGAAGTCATGGACATTGCACAAAATAGTGGCTGAAAGTTTGTTCTGCCTTTACACCCCTCTAGATACCAAACAGCTCTAATGTCTTAGGCTGGATTTGTTTGATGGCTTTTAGCTCACAAATGGGGAGTATCTGTTGCCTAGGGCCTTTCCTCCATTGCTCCTCAGTTAGACATGGCTCTTGGCTTTTATTCTCTGCAACACTAAATTTTGGCTTACTTTAAATAAACAGAGGCAGCCCCATGAGTCTGAATCAACACTTTATGCATTGTCGAGCAATAGACATAACACACCCAAATCACCTCGAAATGGAAGAACAATTTACTCCATCATTTTTAAGAACACATTTTTAAACAGGCTGGGGTCTTCCTGGAAGAGCAGAAAAGTAGTACAGGTGGGAGAGAGAGCAACTCTTACCAAATATTGCTCAGCACAAATTTTGCCCTGAAGCTCATCCCAAGCAGCAATGTGGAATACCTAAAGCAGACACTGCTGCCATGGGGGAAGATTCACAGACTTACCGCAAACTTTGTAATTGAGTTCATCATTTTCAAGGGAGTCGTGCGAAGAACAAAGCTGTGTTATGCAATGAGGCATAAAGGAGCAATAATAAAACCAGTAGGTAGTTATGTTAACAGCTGAGACACCTGAGGCCATGGTGTGGTTGTGCTTTAAGGTGAGCTGGGGTCAGTGGAGCAGTTATTCCTCCTTCCCCCAGCTGGTAGAGATTAGAAGGCTTGAGCTGGTTGTGGAGGGGAGCATTTTCTGCCAGGAGTTCTGGGATATTGCAGGTGAGTGTGCTTGCAAAGACTCACGAAGGAGGGAGCGTCTCCTCATCCTGTTGAGGAAGGAAGAAATGGAAAGCAAGTTGGGACAGGTGACCTTAGTGTGCTTTATATTTTCACTCATGCTGCGCGTTGGCTTGGGGCTGTCTGTTGGAGCCTAAAAGGTTGAAAATGTGGTGTTGAATTCATGGTTGACTGAAGAGCTCAGTGTGGGAGCACAGATATTGGGTGATTACTGATCCCTGGGCCAAGCAAAGCAATGCCGGAGCCAGCTCTGCCATCTTCTGTCTTTATGTCACGTGTTGCTTTCTGTAAGAAGGTACTGAAACTAGAAAGGACCTGCTGATGTTAGACTGTATTTTTGTATTTGACTATTACACAATACAATTAACAATAACTAAACTAAAATTACTGCCCCTGCTGTAGACGTTGCTTTCCTTCCGCCTGGCTGAGCAAGCTGCGGCTGTGGCCTCTGGCCCATGACTGGAGCTGGAGGAAGTCTGACCTGATCTGATCTCTGAACTAGGTCTCAGAAAAGATCTTCAGCAATTTCTGCTTTCTGCAATTTTACCAAATCAATCTCTACCGGGATCAGAGTTAGACAAGTGTGAGGTTTCCAAAATTCCCCGATTCCAAACGCTCATGCTCTTAGGGAGTTTGAGGACCATCCTTAAGACTGCTAATCATGAAAACTGCTTGCCCATAAAGATTTTTTCCTTAATGTTACAGACTAATTCAGAATAATTCTTATATCAGTGACTTTTCTGTGTAAAATAAAGTTCCAGAATATCTGATACCAAAATCTTGATTAAAGTTTCCTTTCTGCTGTGCGGTTACTTGGTAAACAGACTTTGCTAAGGTGGTGCGGAGCAAGAACTTTGCCTTGGATATGCAGCGTAATACAAGCAAATACACGCAGGCAGAAGCTCCCTGTGCTTTTTTTCATTACTTCCACCCATGTCAGTGGATCTTGGAACAGGCATTTCAAAATGAGCCCCAGAGATGAGCAGGTGGCACTTGGAGCCCGTTTGCCCAGTGAGAGATTATCCAGCTGCACACAAACTGGCAGCATATTGAGCGTGATAAGGCTAATGAGCTGCAAACTGATTTTTTTGAGACAGGTCTCTGCCTTTCCTTTTCTGCCTGCAAGAAGCCACTAGATAGCAGTACAGAAGCAGAGAGCAAGGCATGTTTTTCTGGTTCTTCCCAGCACACTTGGATTTTGGGTGGCCCTTTTCAATTCATTCTGCTGCATTTAGCCCGGGCTTGCTAAAGAAACAAAGCTGACATGATGCTGTGTTCATCCTCTTCCTTCCCTAGTCACCTGCCACATACTGACTAATTCTGTTTTGACAAGCTTCATGGAAGCTGGATAAAGCTCCAAATTTGTGCTCCAGGTGGGATTCAGCTGCTCCCTTCATTGGCATCAGCTGGGCATGGGCTCGCAGCCACTGCTTAATGGTGAGCAATGGGAGACAAAGGAGAAATTGGGATCATTGCAGGGAAAAAAAGTCTCCAGGATATTGGACACATCAGGTTTCATTAGTTCTGTTCACAGAACAGCTGGGGCTGTGTGTGCTTGGCACTGTATGAGCTGTACCTGGTAGAATATATCAAATTAGAAATTTTACCAATTGCTGGTTAACCTGCCTTAAAATGTTGACAATAAGACACTGCTGTATTGCTGTGTCTAACCCCACTGGCTGCTATTTATGCTGCACTGAAGCATGTGAAGGTACAGAGTGGCATGCCAGCATCAGTTTGATTCAGAATAAACTCAGAACAGTTCTCTGAGCTTCACTCTGCTTGACTCTGCCACTAAGTTGGTGACAGCAGCATCAGATGGCTACATGCTGGTGAAAGAAACTGGGCATCATGGCTTTGCTGGAGCCTAGTCTGTCGGGGATCTGCTTCTTGCCACCGTAGAGTAGCAGTGGTGTGATGGATGAGGATGCTAATGAGAGGTAGCCTCCTACTCCAAGGTACTACCAGGTCCAACAGGTCTGCAAGCACAAGAGTCCTTTCATGCTGTGTTGGGCAGGGGCGGCTATTGAACAACTAGTCCCTTCCCAACCTTCCTGTGCTACTCAAGATTTTGTAGACCCGTTCATGGTGCCCCTTAGGTTATGTCCTTTCCAGGCTGACTCATCTTGGACTACTCACTTAATCTTCCTGTGGAAGCTCTTCCATACTTTCCACCATTCTTTTTGCCCTTCCTGGGACCCTTTCTGGGTCTAAGATATGCTTTTGTGGGAATCCAAGCTAGATTTGTGCAATGGTGTAATGCTGTCTTCTGCTTTGTTTTCTGTGGTTTTACTAATAACTGCTAAAACTTTATTTGCTTTTTTCAATGCTACAAAGCAGGGGGCTGGTATTTTCATGGGCTTAACTACTCGTGGTAAGCCCAAAACCTCATTCCCGGGCAGTAATGTCTGGTTAAAGTCCATCATTTTATCCTTTGAACCTGGAATTGCTCTCCTGTTTGCATCATGCTACATTTATTTGCAGAGAATTTTGTCTATCAGCAATTCTTAATTCCTGACCTTACTGCCCTGAATTACTTTGCTTTATTATTTGTCTTTTCCAGAGAAGAACTTGCAGATAAGTTCTTTATCACTTGGTCAGGAACTACAAAAAAAAGTCAGAAAGAGTAAAAAAATATTTCTTGGAGATGATGTTGCAGATCTTTGGGAAGGACATTGTTTTGGTGAGAAAACATTTGTGAGAGTTCCTCCAAGGCTCTCCTTGCAAATAGAAAATATGGAGCGGGGGAAAGAAAGAGAGGGGTCTTCAAGCTGATGGTAGAATCAGGGGAAATGAAGGGATTAAGAAAATGTAAGAGCAAAGACAAAGTCAGAGGTGGAGACCAAGCCAAATGTTTAGGAGTGTAAGAGCACAGAGCTTGTTCTTGCTGCTCAGCACTGCAGAACGGTAATGGGCCTTAAGAGTTCCATGGAAAAGCAAAATAAATAGTATATTGAGATCTCTGGTGGTAGTACCATGCTGAGTGTCTTGGAAGAGGAAAGGAGAATAGAATAGAATAGTTCAGTTGGAAGGGATCTACAACGATCATCTAGTCCAACTGCCTGACCACTGGACTGACCAAAAGTTAAAGCATGTTATTAAGGGCATTGTCCAAATGCCTTTTAAACACTGACAGGCTTGGGGCTTCGACCACCTCTGTAGGAAGCCTGTTCCAGTGTTTGACCATCCTCTTGGTAAAGAAATGCTTCCCAATGTCCAGTCTAAACCTCCCCTGGCACAGCTTTGAACCATCCCCATGCATCCTATCACTGGATACCAGGGAGAAGAGCTCAGCACCTCCCTCTCCACGTTCCCTCCTCAGGAAGCTGTAGAGGGCAATGAAGTCACCCCTCAGCCTCCTTTTCTAGTTTTTCAAACTAGACAAAACCAGAGTCCTCAGCCACTCCTCACTGGCCATGCCTTCCAGCCCTTTCACCAGCTTTGTTTGCCTCTTCTGGACGCATTCAAGGATCTTAACATCCTTCTTAAATTGTGGGGCCCAGAAGGGCACGCAATACTCAAAGTGAGGCCACGCCATTGCTAAATACAGCAGGAGAATCACCTCTTTGGACCGGCTTCTATCAGGAAGTGTGGGAAAGAAGCAATTGCGGTACATAAAATCTGGAAATGGAGAAATGAGACTTCAGTGGGGCTCACTCAGCGACTCTGGGAAGTATAAGATCTAGTTTTCTCTCCTTCCACTTGCTGCCCCGGAGCCTCCGTCAGCTAAAATGTCCCATTTTGTGCTGTTTCACTGGATTATGATACAGATCTTTATAGGTGAGTCTTCACCTGCTTTTTGTGTGCTTGCTCAGAAACCAAAAATTTCATAAAATTGAAAACAGTGATGCTTTCTATGAAAACAAAATGGTGAAAAAGGGCGTAATTGCATACAGAACTTCAAAAGTTTTCTTAACTTACTGACTTACTACTGATCAAGAATTTTTTTTTCTTCTTTTGAAAAATATTTGTGGTCTCCTCTGTGTTTAGGCTTGGTTAGTTCCCCCTTTCCCCAAGATTATCTTATTTCTTTACTACTGTTAAATGAGTAGTGCTGGCCTTGCTTCTTCGTCTGTCTCTCCACCACACTACAATGCTGACACAGTCCAAGCTAGGGAATTGAAATATTGACAGAGTGATGAGTGTATATAACATGATAAAGAAAGGATTTTCTGAAATTCTGAGGGTTATCTGCTGCTATGAACTGAGTATGGGAACGCACGGCTGGAGATTCCTCTTCTTTTACTCCCAAGTGTTCAGTTCACCCATCTAAAATCTGATTCCTGAAAAGACAGAAGTCAAAGAAAAGTAACCTGGGGGGCTGGGTCTTGCAAGTGTGGTCGGTATCGGCTACATTTCTGCATGTGCATTTAGGCATGAGCAATGCAGTTTCCAAATTGCCTGAGGTGGCTCAGGAATGTGAGTTCACCCACTTTCACTGCGACATGAGCTCCTAATGGGAGTTGTGCTTTTACATCACTTAGGCATTGCAGGAAATTCTGTCTCAGGTGGCTAAATATTAATTGGCTAACCTCTGCCAGCATGAAATATTATCTATAACATCTACAGCAACTGCAATGTTCTTAAATTGATCTGAAAAGCAGTGGAAAAGTTTGGTCAGCAGTGGGATATGCTGAGGGGCAAGAGGTGAACCATGCCTCTTCGAGGCAAGGTAACACAACCTCCCATGGCGTCTGCTGCACAGGTGGAGATTCGCTGGCACTTTGCTGTAGCCCAGGGAATTCCATAATATTTTTTGTCTTTTGCCACTCCGTTTGATCTTATTTTCAAAAACTTTCATATATGCAGAGCTACTGAAGGCTGAGAAGGATTGGTGATCTTGAGCCTCAGGAAACCAGCAGAGTGAGCAGTTAAATGACTCTTTTCTGTTTAGCAGTCATTTTCTCTGCAATTTCATCAGTACAGAAGCTTCAAGGAGGAATTAGAAAAGGGTTGATGGGGAAAGATGCCAAGTATCTTCTACAAAGGAGGAAAATTATTCCAGATCTTGATCAAGAATTCTTTTTCAACCAGCTATCTTGGCTGGAGGGTATATGTCTTTGTCCATCCAATGACCAGTCTATGGGAGAGAAGACCACCACAACAGCAACTATTGGAGTTACTGCTTAATCCCAGCTGTCACTGAGGGTTGCTTCAAGAGAGACTATATATAAATATGCATATATCTGTATATTCTGAAGAATTATGAATACCCCTTTCTATTTTGGAAGATATAAAGTATCTGAACTCCATTTCTCTCTCACTTGGATTAAGGGCTTGGAGAGGCAAACCTCACTGACTTCAGTGGGACTACCCAGGCATAGCTGATGCTCAGGGTGCCTTGAGTCAGATCTGGATGCCTGGGAGGGTCACTGTCATGGACAAGGGTAGGATTCCTCTCACAGTAAGCCTAGGGTGTCTCAATATAACAGTCTCAGGAACCTCTTAATTTCAAAGACATGTTCATTCAGTCCTATTTACTATTTCTGTTGGAAAATGTGTCTGTGGAAGAGGTTGTAACTGAGAAGGAAGTTATTTAATCCTTGCAGAGGTTCATACTGTTGAATCAAGGCTGTTGCGGTATTGAAGTTTCCGTACCAACCTACAGTGCAGGCAGATGCTACCAACATTAGCTTCGCATAAATTAAAAGAGGATTTGAAACTGCAAAACCAGTAACTTTCTAGCTCCAGTACTGGTGGGAAAGTGCACTGGAGACACTCTGGTGCCTTGTCTTCCCTCTTCTATTTATTTATTTATTTATTTAAGAAGTTCAGGGCTCTGCAAAGAGAAGAGCAGGCAAATTTTCATTTGTTAAAGAGTTCCTTAATGAATCTGCTTTTGTGATATGCAGGACTGGGATGAAATAAGAACAGAAGATGAACCCATTTCTTCTCAAGCAGCAGTGACCTTAACTCCAATAACAGTTCAAGCTGGTCTTGGTTTTGCATACATCTTTGTTGGGGTGACTTGAAAATATGTTACCCTGCTCAGTGATTAATTCTCTGCTACCCTGGGGATATTTTCAAGGTCAGCTGGATGAACTGTTCTGTTCTGTGGTCACAGAAAGAGGCTGGTTTCTCTGTTTTACCATAACAAGGCAAATGAACCTACCCTTTCCAAGGACTAAACCAAGCAGTCATCTTTCAAAGCCTTAACCTGTATTCAGGAATTCATTTTTTTGGCACATCCTACCTTCATTTCACTGCAAAAGCTTCTGCCCTTCACACCGTATTTCATGTTATTTTGTCTGTCTCCACTCTTTTAGCTTTTGGAGCTGTGGAAACCTGAACGAGTTGGCTTATCTTGCCAATGGGATAAGAAATAATGAAGCTGAAATGTCATCCCAATAACAAGTCATGAGGCAGCCTGCCACAGACTAAAACCTTACCTGGGGAAAAGTCCATTAAAGACAAAACAAAAGAGACATGGACACAGTTGGAAGCATCTGTTTGCTCTCTGGGAGTCATGCCAAAAAGAAAAGGCATTCAAACAGCTGGCAAAATAGAAATGCTTGGCAAACCAAGGCCAAAGCTGGTGATAATAGTGGCAACTGCTCTAAGTCCTCTTTGGGGTAAGCAAGCTGGCCATGAGACACCAGATCTGCAGGATGATCCTCTTGCTGCAGCAGAGGACCAGGTCTGGATGTTCCCCAGGTCCCTCAGTTCCTGCTCCACCATATATAAATGATAACATAGGGGAAAAAGGCAACAAGGTTGGAGGACTGACACAGACTAAGTGAATGTAAACCAGAAAAGATTTGTTCCTCTATGGGAACCATTTTTGTATAGTGCCTTTCATGAAGAAGAAATCCCTTTCAGGGCAATCTGGGAACTGCATTGGCAGTTAAGAGGGAACAATATGTAGCAAAGATTCAAACCAGATGCTAAGGTGGGTATTGGCTGTAAACACCAAGTAAGACTGGTCCTTAAGAGTAAGAACACAAGGAAAGCGTGCATATGCTCTTTTTAACATCGGCATAACACTAGTGGTTAAAGCTTCTATGTACACAGTGCTCTGTAAGGTAAGCGGGATGGTTGTCAGGGCTTGCTCAGAAACAGAAAAAGCAGTGCACTTTCTGAGAACAGGTTCCCGTAGACAGATCCCACTACTCTGCCAGCTTAATTAGGCCCTAATTTCACACATGAATAGGTATTTTGGACCCTGCTATTGAGGCTGTCAGTGAAAAGCAACCGTGGCAGCATTTCCTTTTTGAAGGAGATGACAGTGGACTGAGAAAACCAGATGTATCTTACACCAGGTTTCTGAACAACTTTCAAACAGCCTCTTAGGAGAGGAGATGGGATGGGATCAGAGTTCCATTTCTACAGGTCTAGTCTGCACTTGCGCTGCCAGCGACAGACCTCAGCTTCGCTCACTGCGTGTTTGATGTGAGCAATGTATTTCATGAGCAGCCCTCCAGCAGCTGGCTGGGGCCAGAGCATGGAGCCCTCCAGCAGCAAGCCAATGTCTGCGAGCTCCTGGCTGTTGCCTGTAGTGCCCCAGGCCATTATCTGCCACAGGCTCGAGGGGTAGGATGAGGGGAAATGGCCTCAGGTTGCACCAGGGCAGGTTTAGATTGGACATTAGGAAAAATCTTTTAACTGAAAGGGTTGTTAAGCATTAGAACAAGCTGCCCAGGGAAGTGGTTGAATCCCCATCCCTGAAGGTATTTAAAAGACAGGCAGACAAGGTGCTTAGGGATATGGTTTAGTGGTGGGATGGCAGGGTTAGGGGAATGTTTGGACTTGATTATCTTAAAGTTTTTTTCCAACCTAAATGATTCTATGATCAGTAACTGTGGCCTGCCTACAGGCAGGAGTGTTTTTTTTCTTGCCTCATTGTGTTCCATAGCTAGAGTCATGAATCGGAGACTGCCAACACTCATCTTTCCTTGTTCTTCTTTGACAGCACACACTGCATCCCAAACTGTTATTAGAGGAGTAATAGGGCAACCTGTTCAGTTGCCTTGCTTCTACCACGTGACGCGACGTAAGGACATCTCCGATATGTGCTGGGGCAGAGGTCCGTGCCCAAATTCAAAATGCAATAACAAAATTTTGCACACCACCGGGACAAGGGTGACATTCAGAAAATCTCAGAGATACAGTCTCCAGGGCTATGTTTCCTATGGTGATGTGTCTCTCACAATTGGGAAGGTGAAGGCAGAAGATGCAGGTACATACTGCTGCCGCATAGAGATCCCGGGTTGGTTCAACGACATCAAGAAGAACATGCAGCTGGAGGTGGTCAGAGGTGAGTTTGGGGACCTTCGTGATAAAGCCAGTGAGGAGAAACCTCTCACTGGATGGGAGTTTAAAACCAGAGTTCATGTGTGCTTTGTTTGCTTGTTTGTTTTGGCAAAAAGTATTTTTCCTAAATTACATAGTTTTCAAGGGAGGTCTGCAACTGATTGCCAATTTGAATCACATTAAATGAGCAGTTTTGATGAGAAAATAGTAACTTCTGCCCTTTTTTTTGCCTTTCAAATGCAATATTTAATTTCTCATTGTGTAGCTATATTTGATGTTTTAAAACATGATGGAATTAAAAAAGGGATTTATCATTTGAAGAGCCCTTGGAATGAAACTCAGTTTTTCATTTAGGGTTCACCCCAACACCAAAAAGGCTTTCGTTTGGCTCATGTCATAAGGAGACCCATGTGTTTAGAAATTTTGTCTCAGAGTCTTGAAGGACTTTTTCCCTTTTTTATTATTTTGCTGAGTTGCAGGATAAAGTAAGGGTCTTACAAAGTCAAGAAGAGGCTGAAAAGCACTGCAAAGCACAGAAGAAAAGATGGTACCCACCCTACACACTGCAGAAAGGCAAATTTTTTCTGACTTTTACAGGGTGTTCAGGAATGCAATTGGGGTTGATGCACACAGCACTCTCATATGCCTGTTGTAAGCAATATAACAGGAGAGTGGGGGAAAATGCTGCAATCCCATGTCTATCCCTGAGTTTGAGGGCAACAGAATTCATAAAAAAGGACTGGTTGAAAAGATTAGCAAGAAGCTTGTAGCCAAAAATCAACTTTCTTTTTTTTTTTAATATAATGAGGAAATTGAAAAGCAAAATCACAAAGTTTGCAAGCTTGTGGGTTCTACCATGCAAGGTTCTGGGACTTCCATTTCTGTAAGAGGGTCAAGGAGGGGGTGTTTGAAACCTACCAAAAAAAAAAAAAAAATCTGGGAATTTCTCTGTCTGGGGCCTGTTTTCTGTTAACTAAAAAAACTTTTTAAATAGCGACTCCCACCTTAATTATGAGTATTTTATCAGCTAGTTAATTTTCATTCATTTCTGTGTTGGCTTTCCTCAGGGCTGATTGTGAATGTTCTGATCTAGATTTTTTCTTGGCTGCTTTTTCCATGCAGCCCCTCCAGTGATGACAACCACCACAAGAAAGGCTCCTGTTTCCCCCAAAAGTTTTAGAAAACCAACTTCTGCTCCCCAATCAACCTCTGATCATCACACAACAGCAGAGATCACTGTCCTCCTGACAACCGCCACCCCCGAAGCAACAAGTGCAACCACCGACCATCAAGCAACTGCAGAGACCGCTGTCCTCCTGACGACTGCTGTCCCCGAAGCAACAAGTGCAACCACCTACCATCAAGCAACTGCAGAGACCGCTGTCCTCCTGACGACTGCTGTCCCCGAAGCAACAAGTGCAACCACCGACCATCAAGCAACTGCAGAGACCGCTGTCCTCCTGACGACTGCTGTCCCCGAAGCAACAAGTGCAAGCATCAAGTCTCCAGCAGTGATTACAGTGGAGACCAATGCTCTCCCAACATTTGCTGTGACAGCAAATGATACTTTTCCAGCAACTATAGTGACAACCAGTGCTCTCCCAGATTTTCCAACTGGTTTCCAAACAACTGACATGAGGACTAAAGACGATGATGTGTTCTGCTCAGCAGAGTCTGTCCCTCTTCCTGGAGATACAGAAGGTAACCCACACTAATACTATTTTTTTTTTTTTTTTCTGTGTAGCAGAGATGGTCCTTGAGCCTAACTCTGCCATCATAGACACTCTGCAGATACTTATATTTGTACCTGGGACGTTTTCTCTGAGATGCCTATAGGTATGTCTCGGAAGGTTTAAGGAAACATAGGTCAAATGTTGTGGATGATGACAAACCGGGGTGAATGGCCAATATAGCAGAGGGTCAGGCTTGCATTTAAAGGAGTTTTAACAGGCTGGAGAAATAATGTGACAGAAACCTCATGAAGTACAACAGAAATAAATGCAAAGTCCTGCACCTGGGATGGAGTAAGAGAGATTCACTCAACTACGCACTAATTTTTTTTCTTGATTTGGGAAAGACAATTGAAACTGTCTGCTGTTAAGGTTAGTTTAGAGCATGTTCTGCTTGAGCAATAAAGTCAGTGAGAATTCAAAACATTTTAAATTGAGTACTTACATTGTCATGCCATATGAAGGCTGCTGTTAATATTTAGCTGATCAGAGTGACCTGTTATCACCCTAACCATTCCTAGGTTGCTACTTTATCCACAGCAGTGACTTCTTTTCCATAGATTGATGTCTGCACACAAGGCTGGTTTTTGTACATTTTTTGTGTCTTCTATTGCTTGAAGTTCTTTCTGATGTGAACCTCTGAGGGCAGCTTTTCTGTATCATCTCTTGTTTTCCAGCCATAGTGACGTGCCCCAGTTAAATTTGGCAACAATTAATGACATCCACAGCTGAACAGGTAAAACACCTGACCACTGGCCATGCCAGTAAAATACATCAGTAGGTAGGATGAGCTGCAGACACAAAAACCGAGGTGTAAATTTTCACCTCTTAGTTGCAGATGTGGAACTGTGCAAGCAATTTTGAATGCCATATGAAGACCCTCCTAATCCGTGATCTTTATAAGCATTACTTTTTACTTTGTTTCAGTGACTACTGAATTCCCAAGTGCACTTCTGACTGCAGAGGGAATTAAAAGTGCTCACCCTTCTCTCGTCGTGGAAGACGTGCTAACTGTAGGTGAGTAGGATAATGTTCCAAGGTCAGAACTTGCGTGTTCAGAGAAATGAAGAAGTTGTCATAAACCAAAGCATTGACTATTCCTAAGTGTGTACCAAACATGTACTGATAGCTATTCATTGCATCTGGAAGTAAGAGGTATCTGGGGCATAGAAGTTGTTTGAAATCAGGATGTAACAACAACTGAGAAAGATGCATTTTTAAGCCCCCAAAGGAAGTAGATTTTGAGTCACTCACTACTGTTGGGTATCTCGGGTCTGAGAGAAGTTAAGAACTGGTCTTTGTCACCATCCAGGCTGAATTCTTGGATATCCAATTTGTCATCACTGTGAGTTCATTGAGCTTTCCATTTTAAATCCTCCCTGAGTGTTGTGAGTTTTGAATCTCACTGCATATATTCAGCCAGATGTGGCTGCAGGCTCAGCTCTCCAGTGCTCAATATGTGTCCTTGGTCATGGTGAAAAGCAGCAGGCAATTACCACAACGATCAGTTGTTCCTTTGAGAGAAAAGGAACGGGTATACAAAATCATACCATATCTGAGAAATGAACAAAGTTACATGAAGTTTGCACTTTATGTCTCTCAGTCAATGATAAAAGTAGAATGGCTCAAGCTATTCAGGTGTGATAGTCTGCCCACCAGATGCCCTCACATGAGGTCTTAAAAAAAGGAAAGCTAAAATTCAAAGATGACATGTCATCTTTGGCTGTTAAGAGAGTTCTTTTAGTTTCAACTAGTGCCAAGAATCTCTTCCTTCTTAAAACCACAGTATTTAGATTTTTGCAGGTTTTCTTTTGCTAGACCTAGAGACTCATAGCAGAAATAGAGTTTAGGAAACTGTTCCTTAATGCCCCTGGAGAGGGCTCACAGAAGAGACTAAGCCAGTCTCTTGAACATTTGTGAGGGTTTCTCAACCCATCTTACTTGCCATCTTGCTGATATAGTTCTGGATAATGCCTATATCCTGCCATTGTAAATAGGAAGTTTTGCAAAGGGTCTCACCTCTGAGATTCTGGGGGCAACCTAACTTGTGACTGTGGCTTAGAAAGAGCCACCACAAAAGCAATAACAGCAGAAAATGTGCCATGCTTATGTGAGTCATGTACACTCCCACCCGTGCAAAAGCTTGTGTCATGCTATTTCCAAGAGCTGAACTGTCACAATGTGTGAAAATGCTGTGGCGTAATTGAGCACTGTCTAGTAAGAGCCATAAGCCAAGTTAAGCTCTTGACCCAGTCTCCTTTTACTCTGTGAAATAATGCACTAGATGGACCAACTTCAGCCTTACGGTAATGTAAGGGAAGGCTAATTTGTTGCTGAGCTCTGTATTGATGTTAGCACAGTAGCTGGGAGAGAAACCCATGGTTGAGAGAGCCCTCCATCTTCAAGCACAATTCTTTCCAGATAGGTTGGGTTTGCTGGGGCGGTTGATTCCTACTGACCAGACTCTGATTTAGTTTCTCTTCTGTCTTCGCCTGCTTTCGCCTGGCAACAACCCCACCAATGCCAACCATGCTTCAGACCCCAGAGAGAACCCTTGCTCCTTCAAGTGTGGAAAATAAGCAGCAATAGTTGTTCCCATCAGGCAGGCTCCAGCACTCTGCCAGCAAGTTTAATTTTGACTTGTGGGATGTGCGTGTCAGAGTGAGATAAGCACTTCTTGTGTATTTGGGGGTATTCTGCTGAACTACAGTTCTCTTCTATTCCAAGAGGGGGAAAGAGGGGTGTCATAAAACAGGCGTATGGAAAAATGCAATGTTCATGTATCTCTGGGATTTTTAGCACTTGCTAGGGCTTTATTACCTATATTTATTTAGCTGTAGTGCTTATTAGCCATAATCTCTTTTCTACTCCAGTGCAAGTTTCTAGCTACAGTTGCATGCCTATGAGCTACCTGTGACCTGTCCATGTCTTTGATAAAATGTAAGCACATTATTTGGTGCATGGAGACAAACCAACTCAGCTCTCAGAGAGAGATGATCAGAGCTGAGAAATCTGGGGGAGATTAGATTATTCACTGCATACTCTGAAAAGTTGGGGGGAAAAAAGCAATTTTTGCGACCACCTGATCACCCCCATCACTATGTGACATTCTGGGTGTCTCATGCATATAAAGTTTCCTTTGGCTGTGGTCTTGCGCACCGGAAGTGTGTTACATGTGCATGCCTCAACACATGACTCATCTGGTCCCTGGTACATTTTGCTCAGCTGGAGGCTTCATGATTGTTCTCTTGTGAAATGTTTGAAAGCTCGTCACAGTCTTTTTATACATTAGGGCATGACCTAAGGCATAGGAGCTTTACTCTCATAGGATGTAAGATGAAGTTTTGATTCACTAAGCTGAGTGACTCCTCTGTTTTTAAGATGCTGCTAAACATTGGGTACTCCCTGTGGCGGATCAAGTACTCCAAATACTTAAATACTTCAGTACTTTGTAGCATGAGGTCATGATGAGCCAATTCACTAGCAAAAGTAAGAGAGTAGGATCATAGGATAATAGCATAAAAGTTTGCTGCAAGAGTTCTTGTGCATTGAATTAGTTCATCTCTATTTCCAAAGCTTAGAAAACTAGAAGTGAATTATTATTAAGATCCCTGGATAGAAAAAAAAAAAAATAGCATCATCTTCATAGAGCTTTCTTAAATCTGTGGTAAGTTATCTGAACATAAAGATGTTTCCTGTGGTTTTCAGTACTAATGCAGCTTTCAAAAAGTGCAATCACACAGAAGTCTGACCACAATTAAACTGAGGCAGTTCCTCCACTTAGACTTGTACCTTGTTTACTACCTCTGCTCTCTACAACATCTTGTCAAGCTTACAGAAGTGAAACTCCTTCACAGCAGACAAGTTCTACTGCCTTGCTTGGGCTATCCCTGGGAAGCCTCCTCTTTCCTTGATGAAGACTGACGTTTCCCAGTGACTGCCTGATATTCCATTTGGGGCCAAAATAGATTGTTCCCTTTTGGTTGCAAGGTGCTTTATTTACTCTACTCAGGGCCAGATTTTGCCCTTCTCATTCCCTGAGAGTTTATTACTCCTTGATTAAAGCAGCAACAACCACAGTGGCCCTCACTCCTTCAGGTGACTGTGCCAGTAATAATTTCAATCTCTTTTATTTTCAGGGATTTCATCAAATTCAGACATCAAGGATGAGAAGCACAATGATAACGGAGATAAGGTAAAACTTCCTCTAAGTTTCAAGAGTGTTTAGCTAGAAGCCAGAAGGACAGCAGGACATGCTAGTGATTTTCAATGTATGCATACTACAGGGCCAGTGTTTGCAAACAGTAGCTTGAACTTTTCTTTAGAAGCTCAGGAGCCATCTATTCATCTTTCCAGTAGATAGAACCAAAGCCTGTGACCTACCCATCTGACTTTCACACTTCAGAAAAACTTCAACCCCCTGACACCCCTGTAAGAGGGCAATCCGCTCCTGTGTGAATATGTCTGAAACAAACCTGCTTGTAAAGCCTTTTCAGTTTTTTTCTTCTCCCTTCTAGTTTCCCAGCTACTCCATTCTCATTGCCTGTGTCATAGTGGTGTCCATTCTTTTCATATTGATGCTCTCGTCATTGTTTTGGAAACGTAAGTATCCCTAAGCACATACTTGATTGACGTATCTGATGCTGGTCTAGTGCAGATGTCCTTCTGTATCTCTGGCTAACTTTTGGGTAAATCTGCCATGGCCTCTGTGACAATATTCTGTTAATTTTATGGGGGTTGCTGTCCTTACCCCAGGGCTGTGTCACCCTGAGGAGGCCAGGGAGCATGAGTTGGTGGGGATGCAGTGGGAGGAAGCCTGTGCAAAGAACCTGTTCACTCAGTTGTTGCAGGTCTGGCTCATCTTGTTGGCTCTTGCTTTATAGTAAAGTGGTCTTGTAGTTTCCTGGAATTGCTCCTGACAGACATTGGTGTAACTTAAACCAGAATGAGAACTTTTCTTTCCTGTTTAGCCCACAGAAATTTTGCAGCTTGCTGTCTTTGCTTCTGAACCGATTTGAAGGATTCATTAGAATTACAGATTTCTTTTTGCCATTGTGACATTAATATTATTTTGCTTCTAGGTGGACACACAAAGAAGTTTATAATAAAAAGGTAATCCATTTTGTAATTTCCTATTAGAAGTTCCAACGTCATTTTTCTTAGAGGTAGGAAGGTGTTTGCCACTGATTGTAATGGGTGTAGTATTGGCTTGTGGTGCTGACTACCGAAGCTGTATTATGAGCAAGCTTCAGCTAACTTCACCCCAGAAAATCAAACAGTGCTTCCCTGTGGTTTCTGCTTCTGGTTTCTTTTTTTCCCAGTGGTTCTGCTTTTATGTAGCAATGAACAGCCATCCAGAGCACTGGAGAACTTCAGCAACAAGTGCTTACTGTTACGTAGTGGTCCCAGCTTAAGGAAATATCTAAGCTGCTTTATTCTTTGATCAAATACCAGGGCATGACCCTTGGGGGGTTATTTTAAAGAAATGAAGAGATAAAGGGTTATGATGATCAACTGGCAAAATGATTGCTCAGAGAGGGATCAGGGATTTCTGGACAGTCCTCCACAGAGTGGTAATCTGTGCCAATAAACAAAGAATGGGCCCCGTGCCACGCTGAAGCAGTGTGGCAAACCAAGCTTTGCCCCCCAGCTCTCATGGGGCCACTGCACCCTCTCACACACCCCTTGGGTGCACCCCCACTGCACCCTCCACACTGAAGGACCTGAGGTGATCGTTCTGAGGCAGATATTAAATACATGTGATGAATCACCCTGTGCAGGTGTAACTGATAAGTTTGTGTCTTCTGGCTTATCTTGAAAAAAAGGATTTTCCTTAGACAAACCACAAGGTAGTCCAGTGAAGTACCATCCCCTTTGCCAAAGACCAATAATTTTTCAATGGCAGATGGTCTCACACTGCATACCCCACCTAGGAGATAAGGACTGGGGGCCAAGGAGGGACTCTCTTCTGAATCCCATGGCGATTACCCTACAGCTGGCATTATAAGATCTGAACAGTGCTTTCCTATCCATTAGCAGAATGCAAGCAAGGTAAACACTTCCCTGGTGTAAAAAGTAGGCATTGCACCATTGAAGTCAGTGGACTCAGTAGCGTCTGGCCTCCCTTTCAATGGGAATTTGCTGATGTTACAAGTAAGATAGGATGCTCTGAAGCAGCAATATGATTTTGCTCCATCCATAGTGACCTATGCTTCTCACTACAGCCTTGGACCAGTGGAAGACATTGAAAAAGTTTTCAGTGATGCTGAAGGAGAAAACAGCATTTTTTCCCTGTGAAGAGTTCCTACATCATCTATATATGCCTTGGAAAATAAAAAGGGCCTGTTTCGTGCTGCATTGAGAGATCCTTATGAGCCCTCAAAATATCAATGGGTGTAAACCAAAGGCCAAAGCTTCAACTGTGAAAATTTAAAATCTTTGTGCAAATTTTGCCATGTCACCTTTAAAACTCATTGCATAAAGAAGCTTCTTTCAGAAGGTGCTTTATGCATTATTCATAGGTGTTTCTGGTATCTGCCTTCTTAGTAACACCACGTTACAGAATTGAATTTATTTTTCTCCATTTTTACTAATGCTCTTCCTTGAATACAACTTATACTGTGAGGAACAGAAGAGAGGAGAAATAACATAGAATGTTGCCTAACTTCAAATTGCAAAAAAACCAGAAGAAAAAAATCAGCAAATACAGTTTTTACTGCTTTTATATAATCAAGAGAAAAATTAAGCCACATGAATGCTGTGAGTATAAATCAAAAATGCAGATAACTTAAAGGGTACCAACGTTGCCTGTGATTCAGCATGTTTGAATGACCCTTGGAGATTATGTTAATAAAATTTGCAATTTACTGCTAGCAATTGTATTTTTTATGCCACATCCAAAGGCATTTGAACAGGAGTTAGTTATTCCCCAGGTGTTGAAATGACTGGTGTGCTGTTTCAGCTCTCCAAAGTAGTACTGCAGCATTTCCAGAGGTGGGAAAATGCCCAGAGGACCAACCTGCAGGGAAATTTTTCTGTCTTGCCCCCACAAACCCCCATAGCACTCATTTGTAAATCCATGTCTCCCCCATCAACGTGCATTGGAGATCCCCAGTTGTTTGTTTGGAGTTGCCTTTTGGTCCTCACAACAACAAGCTGCAAAAACCAGCAGCTCTCATGGTGGAGTCTGCTTGGCAATGCAGATCTGCACTGTGCAGCCCCAGGGTGCTTAACTTAGGGCCCCAGCACCCAGTCACAGGGTGGCACAGTGCCATCTGTCTGGGTTTTGTATGGATGAGGCTGGGCTCCCCAGTCCCACCAGTGCTGCCCGTTTGTCTTTTAGAGAAGGTGCAGGTAAGAAGCACAATGCAGAGCACAGTTACATCTTGGAAACTTGGCTGTCCCTTCAGGTGTCCATAGGAGGTGGGTGAAGCCACCTCAGTGTTTCTGAGCAGCATAGGCAAAAATCCTGTGATCTCCATGGAAAGGCTCTGGAGACACTAAAAACAGTGAAGAAGAGATGAAGGGTGGCATTCACCTTCTGCTGCACCTAATAGGACAGAAGGACCAAGGGGGAGAACATTGCTGCTGCTAGAGGCAGAAATTGTTCCCAGTCCTTCTCTGCACAACAAGCTGCCCCCACACTCCTATCCCATCCTCAGGGATACCAGGCAGGACCTGCCATCCCTGTTCCCAGGACTTCAGTGTGGCAGAGCTGGCAAGCAGGCTGTGGCTGTTTCACTGCTCGGACATATCCCTGCATTGTGCTTAGAGCTGACCCTGAGGATGGGGACAGTTTTGACACTGGGAGGCATGGGCACACGTGTGGTTAGCAGAGAGGGGCAGTCCAGCTCTCGACTGTGGACCTTGGCTTGGCCCTGGGGTGCCCGAGCAGGAGACAGGGCTGCCGGCAGCACAGAGCAGTCCAGGAAAGTCTGAAATAGACCCCGTGATCCTCAAGCCCTCTAAATGCTGCCTCTGATTTGACCATAGTGATAGCTCTGAAGCACCTCTACTCAGCTGGGAAAACTGGAGCCTTTGGGTGACTGTGAGGCAGATCAGCAACGCACAGCCCATCATTTCGCCATGCTAATCACACCCTTTCTGAAGGTGCTCTTGCTTGTGTTTCAGCTGGGTTAAGATTTAGGCTTTAAAGAACAGACTGAGTTGATAATCAGCCTGGGGGCATCAGTGCAGTGGGCCTGGCCATGGAGGCTGGGGGATCATCTATGGGATATGCTACAAATGTTTTGTATACATCATTGGGGTCCTCACCAACTCTGCTGCAGTGACTCTGGGAATGGAGAAGGAGAATGGTATGGGAGAATGTTCAAATCCATGATACCGTTTGTTATCTCCATTGCCTGGAGTTCCCCAGTCCCTGCTATAGCAACTCCAGGCAATGACAACCTGAAGGAAGAATACATTGTGGGAATAGCATTTAATCAGAAGAAAACATTGTGTGGCAGATCTGGACTTCCCCACTAGTCATGCTCGGGGTTGTGGTGAGCCTTTTTGACTCCACAGCATCTTCTCATGGGCTATGAGTTAGGGGGAGGCAGGGGAGGTTCCTCTTTGGGGGCGCCTCTCAGTCTCATCTGGGTTCAGCACCCTGCTACGTGCTCTGGTTTAGCCGCATTGTGGGAGGCAGAAGAGAGTCTCCAAACAGAGGATGTGGCCTGCAAGCTCCCGGGTTGGGTTTGCTCAGCTGATCCCTGTGTCTGTCCCACACTGCTGAATCACAGAATGGCAAGGGTTGGAAGGGACCTCGGGAGATTATCTAGTCCAACCCTCCTGCTAAAGCAGGGTCATGTAGAGCAGGTTGCACAGGACTTCATCCAGGTGGGCTTTGAATATCTCCAGAGAAGGAGACTCCACAACCCGCTGAGCAGCCTGTTCCAGTGCTCTGTCACCCTCAAAGTAAAGAAGTTTTTCCTCATATTCAACTGAAACCTCTTCTGCTTCAGTTTGCGCCCATTGCCCCTTGTCCTGTTGCTGGACACCACTGAGAAGAGCCTGGCTCTGTCCTCGTGACATCCACCCTTGAGATATTTGTACATGTTGATGAGATCCTCTCTCAGTCTTCTCTTCTCCAGGCTAAACAAGTCCAGCTCCCTCAGCCTTTCCTCATAGGGGAGATGCTCCAGTCCCCTCATCATCTTTGTTGCTCTCCTCTGGACTCTTTCTAGGAGTCCTTCATCTTTCTTGAACAGGGGAGCCCAAAACTAGACACAGTACCCCAGGTGGGGTCTCACCAGGACAGAGTAGGGGGGAGGAGAACCTCCCTCGCCCTGCTGGGGCTGCTCCTCTTGATGCACCCCAGGGTGCCATTGGCCTTCTTGGCACCAAGGGCTTCTAGGCATGAATCCCACACACACCTGCAGGGAATAAAAGGGGAAAAAAACCCCAAACATTTTTTATGTACTCCTTTAAAAAAAAAAAAACAAAAAAAAGCAGCTCCGTCCCCCCCAGGTGAACCTGTTAATTAAGCCAGCTGTATCTTCATTGCAGCTTCCAATTGGCAGGGCTGGGCCAATCCTTTTGCTCTTATTAATTAGCTCTGCACTGCTGGCTTCTTTAGAGCAGTGCTGGCTCTTGCTGGGGAAGGTTCTAGCAGGTTTGCTGTGGTGCTGGCTGGACTTAAAGGCCTGGCTTTGGGGAGCTGCACAAGGGCGGAAGAAATAGGAGCCAGCAAAGTGAGTTTGATCTGATCAGCCATGTGGAACTACAGCCCAGAAATGCTGTAGAGAAGCTGTAAGTGTAACTTATGTCGCTGAGCATTTTTATTTATCTTTTTATCCACCCCAATTACTGAGGCTGAGGTGGCAATTGGAAGCAAGGAATCTGGGAGGGTTGTATTTAAATGAAAATACATTGAAGTAATTTCTGAGGAGCTGACCCTGGCTGTCAGTATGCTCAGTGAAAGGCTACAAGGAGCCTTTTAAAAGGCTGGAGGAAAAAGAGATTATTTTCCAAAAAGCAATGGAAGCCCCAGAATGCAGTTGCTGCATCTAGTGAAGAAGAACTGTATGAAAGCAGCAGGTTTTTAGAAAGAAAAGACTGTCAGAGAGTATGTCATTGGCATCTGGAACTGTTAGTCTATATTTTTAAGACTTTTACCTTGGAAAGCAAAGAAGAAGTGCACTTAAGTAAACATAAAGCACTGCAGCCAAGAAAACCCTCTGGTAAGCAGCTTAAAATGATACGCAGAGTGTAAGCTGTAAAGCCCTGCAGGGGCCAGAGCTTCATATGGGGAAAACTTTGATGAAAGCAGCCTGGCCCCTGGCAGCCCTGCGAGGCTCACGCTGCTGTGTTGTGGGGTGCAGTTTCCTCGAGAGTTGCTTTGCTACTACTTGTTGCTGCCAAAGTGTGTATCCCTGCAAAGTCTGCCCATGGGCACCTTCACCCTGCCCTTGCTGGCCTCCTGTACCTCCCAGAGCGCTGCCAACAAGCAAAGCTGCTTGCTTTAAAACTGCTGTGCACTTCCCCAAAACTCCGCTCCCCCCAGACCTTCCCTCCTGCCACCTCTCAAACTGCCAAGTGCTAAGACCTGAAATCATCCAGGTTTAACACCTTGCCCCCAGCGCTCTGCACTGCTGAAGTTATTGCGTTGTTTATGGGCTTGTACTGGGAGCCTGTGGCTACAGCAAAGCGGGTTTTAATGTGTTCGGAGTCCACATCAAGCCTAAATGGTGTTATATCTGGGGAGTCTGGCTCTGCTCTGTGGACCAAGGTGGTTAATTAATGAAGGATTTAGCTTTTGGTCCAAGTAATAATTTTCACTGGACCCCAGTACTTTGTGGACAATTGTCTGTGTCAAAATGACCGACTAAATTGGGTAAAGGAGGTCTGACGTGAAGAGATAATGACTGAACTGCTCGATTAGTATGGAGGAGGTATAGAAAAGCAATTAAAAAGGGAGATCTGAATATACTGGGACATGGGACCGGCTAATGAGAAAACAGGAGGAAATACTGAAAAAAAGGCAAGCGCTGAGTTAGGAATACAAATCCTTTAAAGAGAAATGAGAGGAATGAATTAAATATCATTTTGAGATTAATAAGAGCCCTCTCTTAATAGACTTTATTGGAGCTGACTGCTCTGATGGTCCCTTTACATCTCAGCAGCACATTTCATTATGTTTCCAGGTTTGTTTCTTAGCCTTAATGTGCTTTTCTAGGCATTTTTTAAGGTTAATATAAATAAATCTCTGGGTTCCAAAGGTGGAATCTAATTGGAGCTTAAGAAAGAGCAAGCAGAAGGGAAGAATGTGGCTGAGTACATAGGAAATTAGAAAT